TTTTTTTGACAGATTACAAATATCAACTATTAAATATGGCACATTGAATAACACGGTATAACTTTTAACCAAGTACTATGTAATTAATTATATCACTTATAGGCCAGGTAAACAATCATCATAAACGTAAATTACATGCTTATTAGTTGCTGTATTAAACTTTGTATAATATGGCTAGATTTCTGATTTTTTTTTAAATTTTTATAAATTTTGTAATTTTAAATAGCAAATATACTTATTTTTATGTATTTTAATATTATATTATTATAATTATTTTTAAAAAAATATTTTATTTTATAATTTAGACTGCAATTATTAAATAAAAATAAGACTCTCAACATTAAAAAATTTGATACAATTTCTATTGCCCAACCTCTTTTCTTAAAAAAATAAGAACACAATAATTTTTTTTTGAATAGTTTACAATTTTAGGAGGGGGGATTTTTCTTTAGACATTGATGAGGATCAAAATACAGACCAACAAATTCAAACATTTTAAAATTTGAAGGTAAATCATTGGATCAAAAAATTCGATTTAAAGGCAAAATAATTGAGTTCTATAGTCATTATTAGACGTCATCTCCTCTCAATATACTCTGTTAATTTTTTTTATTGACGTGGAGGACAACCTGGCATATGTCTAAAACATTTAAAGTTCCCATAAGTAGACAAAAATAATTTTGTGCCCAAAACGTCATTTTAGTTTATAATTTCAGTACTCTATCTTTGTCATGTTTCATAATTCTGTCAATGATGTTGAGATTCTCATGGTTAAAACAATAAAATGTAGTATATGATATTGAAGGAATAAATTGGAATTAGTTCCTTTTTGTTTGTATTTGGGTGCTGAATTTTCCTATCCAAAGATGAAATTAAGTAGATGTTCAAGATGCTAGATTGTTGTCTATATATGTCAAGAAAAAATAAGGGAGCTAGTGATATAACATCTAACAACAAAATAAATAAAATTAATAAGACTTTGATTAAATTAATGCCTACTAATTTAGGTTGTGTTTAGAATTGCTATACGGTACTATAATTATAGTTTTTTTAATAGTTTATTATGAAAAAATTTATGTTATTATTTGATAATTATTTTAAAAAAAGTTTTACATATTAATATAATAAAATCACTAAATTATACAATATATTAACTACAATTAATTTAATCATAATAAATTAATATTTTTATAAAATACTATACGAAAGATACTATAAAAAAACAACCCTAAATAATATTTTAAAAATCTTGATTTGAATTTAATATCAGAGATTTAAATCTTTGCAAGTGCAACACTAAGCAATTAATTTCTAATTATAAAAAAAAAAACTAAAAAATACGATTTCAAACTAAGTAAAATGACTAATTCAAATTCTAAAAATTAGTGACTAAAATCAAAATTAAAACTAAGTTACGTCTAAAATTTTAAATTCTGATCGTCATTGACCAAAATTTAAAGTAAAGGCTAAATTTAGTCACCAACCACGCATTTTACCTTTATAGTAAAAAAAAAAAATCATGCGAATTGGATTTGTAAGCAAGTTTCCTTGTATAGAAATTAAATAATGGATTCAACCATGATGGTACCTCAGTGAAATAAAAATAGGGTTTTGCTGTTTTGTGTACTTAGTTAAGAGAAAAATGTAATAAATATATGTTTTTATAATTAATTTTTATTGAAAGTGTAAAGATCAATTTTAGTTTAATTAATTAATTAAAATCATCCTATGTTAGTAATATTAGAATATATGTCAATTTTTATAATTTTTAATGTGAAATAATTATTAAAAAATATATTTATTACACTTTTAATTTATACACTTAGAGGCACATGGCCTTTGGGCCTAGTGGCAACTGCCACAATGAAAGGTACATCCCCCTCTCCTTGGGGTGGGTTCGACCTACCCCCATGATCAATTGTTCAAAAAAAAAAATTTATATACTTAGAGTATAAATTAAATAAACTTATGAAAATAAGGAAGAAAAAAAAATTAAGAGTACTACTAGGATGGTATCATTGGTTAGCATTAATGAAATATTTAATTGTATAATTGACTAATTACATATATTCTTTTCTCATTTAAAGTTAAATTATTTTTAGAATTTGGTAGGTGCCTCTCTCACATAAGTCTTGGCCACGTAAACATAAATCCTAACTCTAACAAATAAGACTACTTATTTACGGTTTGATTGATTCAACCTTTAGACCCAACTAATTACATGTACTATTAATTTGATGCATTTATTTCCCCGAGACGTGTACAGTAAATTTCCTTCCCCTTCCATGAATTTTCATAATGCTCTTAATTTCTTGTTTTTCAACCTAAGTAAAATTTGTTAGCAGATATTTTTCCAATTTCGAAATTAAGGGTAGGTTAGGAGTCGCTGTGAAGGAGCGCTCCTAAACTCTTCCTCTACAAAAACCCTTCTCCTTCCTCCCTATTTTCTCATCCTTCTTCTTTGCTCTGTTTTGCATTATTGAAATAATGTCAGAGCAAAACACTTCCTCAGAGCCAGCAGAGAGCACTAGCAACTCCTCCTCTGCTTCTTCTTGGTCGTCAGAAAATCAGAAACATTCGATCAGGAAATTGTCTTCTGAGTCGAAGGCTGAAAGTTCAGAAGACGCTAGCAGGGGAAAGAGAGGGAGAGAGTCCAGCAAGCTTTCGGTTTACAGGGGAGTGAGAATGAGGAGTTGGGGGAAATGGGTATCGGAAATCCGCGAGCCACGGAAGAAATCCCGCATTTGGCTAGGCACTTTCGGCACCCCTGAAATGGCAGCGCGTGCGCATGATGTGGCCGCGCTTAGCATCAAGGGCGACTCTGCCATCCTCAACTTTCCCGAACTCGCCAAGTTGCTTCCCAGACCAGTTTCACTAATGCCTCGGGATATACAGGTCGCAGCTGCTAAGGCAGCCTTGATGGCAGATTTCGAAACATTATCGACCTCCTCCTCCTCTTCCTCTTCTTTAGCATCGGAGTCATCGTCTTCACCGTCGGAGGAGCCAGAGGAACTGAGTGAAATCGTGGAGTTGCCAAATATAGAAGGAAATTTCGGGTCGTTTGAGTCGCGAGACGATTTCATGCTGATTGACTTGGCTGATGGGTGGGAGTATCCGCCGGAGATTTTTGGGGAATTTCCCGATCAGATGATCGGCGCAGAAAGTTTAATTCCGACCAACCTTGATAAACTGTTGTGGGATTAGTGTCTCCAACCTTAATTTGGTGTGGTTTTACTTTCTCTTTTTACCACTTTAGGTTACTGTAGTTCTGGAATATTAATTCGCAGTTTGTTCCCGTATTTTTGCTAACTCGTAACCGTTTTACTTCAAACTTGTTATTGTTGTAATATACCCCACACTATTTTTTTTTTTCCCTTCAAACAATACATATGCATCTCTTTCTTTATGCACAATATCATCTTGAAAAGTTTCGTTTCAGTTTTAATTTAAATCTTTTTTTATTGGATGCTCAATTAGTTTTTAGAATAAGTTTACTTATATTTGAAGTTAGTTGTTTATTAATATATAATTTAAACCCTTAATTTAACTTGGCCGAAAAAACCATGATTTAAATTTCAAATTAAGGTTTTTAATTAGTGAATAATGATGCATTTAAACCCTTGTAGGTTGAATATATACTTTGATTAGTATAACTATGTAAATTTTTATTCAATCTTTTTCCTTAATTATGAGGCAAAGTCTTTTTTATTTTTCTTAGGCATATGAGAAATTAAGATGTTGCAGGAATTCATTTTTATCTGGCCAAATTACACATTGTATGGTTGTTATTATTCTCATGAATTTACTTATTTTGTACTTAAGGTTGGAGCTAATTTGTTGGCCTTCAACCTGGAGCTAATTACTCAATCAATTCTCAACAATTTAAGTCATTTAATGATAATTTCTTTCCGGAGTAAATAGAGACTCTAAATTTTTAATTTCAATTACATAACATGTGGACAGGGAATATTAAAAGATGGAAATGGTTACCATCCGTGATGTAATCCTCTCTTGTAGACTATTTCGATTGATGGCATCATATTTGGTATATGAGTTTTTTTTTTTTTTTGTAGGCTGAATTATGAAATAATAATTGTTAAATGAGAAAGAGCTCCCAATTTCAAGGGCTTGTCCTATTCAATAGTTTAAGTTGTAGTAAATAACACTTTTTTGATATTATATATATATATATATTCTATTTATATCCCACAATATATCCATTAATTCAATAAATGAGTGACATACCCAAACTCTAGAGCATAATATTACATTATCTTTTATGAAAAAATGAATATCATGTAATGTAAAAATGAGAAGTCTTCACCCTTGAAGAGTGGTATGACAAGTTAGAAACTTAATATTTTAGGTTGGAGATTTCACATTCAAACTTTGAATTGAGTATGGAAGGATTCAAGAAAAAGGGAGGGTTATTTCTTCTTCTATAACTTATCATCAAATATACAAAAAAAAATTAAAAAAAAAAAAGAGTCTTCAAAACAAAAGGTCTTCATTAAAGTCTTTATTATCATTTTTATCCATAAGTGGTAGTGCCCATAACACTTTTTTGATATTATATATATTCTATTTATATCCCACAATATATATCCATTAATTTAATAAATGAGCGATATAATTGGACTTTAGACATGTATAATATTACATTTTCTTTTATGAAAAAAATTAATACTATGTAATGTAAAAATAAGAAATCTTCATTCCGGAGGAGTGATTCAATTGATTAAAAATTTAATATTCTAAGTTAAAGATTTTATGTACAAATTTTGAATTGAGTTAAAAACAATTCAAGAAAAAAGAAAAGGCTATTACTTCTTTTATTATAATTTATTATCGGCTATACAAAACAAAAGAAAAAGAAAGAGTCTTCATTGTGGTCAGTTTCAAAATGTGGAAGGACGGGCAAACCTGTCGTTGAAGTTTTTTTTTTTTTGAATTTATTGTGGGTATCATTTTGCAATTGTGCCGTTGGCTTGTTCCTTTTGAAGTGTTAAGGTCTAAGGACCATGGGAAATACAATTTTCTTGAATATGGATATATATTCTATGCCACTTGGACATATTATATATGTCCAGCAAATGTGATGAAAAAGTCCTACTATATTCTTCTCTGCCCGAGAATTTAATTTATTATTTATTATTACTAATTAAGGAAGAAAGAATTTCTCTCGTCACACGTGTTAACATTTTTTTTTTAATTTTAAAATATAAATTATTTAATATTATTACTAATTAAGGAAGAAAGAATTTCTCTCGTCACACGTGTTAACATTTTTTTTAATTTTAAAATATAAATTATTTAATATTTTTATACATAAATTTAGATAATATTGTTTTATAATATATAAAAAAATAATAGAGGTTTTTCTTCTTCTTTTTTTACACGTAGTTTTTATTAACTAATTTCATTTAATTAAATAAATTTTAATTATTATTTATATACTATTAAAAAATAACTTAAAAAGATTTATAAAAAGTCAAACAACTTACAACTTGAAATAAAAAGAGTACAAGTTTGAGTTTTCCATATTAGAAGGTTCCGTAAAAAATTTTCAACTTAATTAATTAGCTTGTTTGCCAAGTAAAACAAGGCACATTGCCACATTGGTTAACCCACAGAAATTGTTGCATGTCTAATTCTCAACCACTCATCATGAGGTAACATTGCAAGATCGTCTGTCAATATCAAGAACCAAGTTTTGCCCCAAAACTAGGGTTTACTTTTTGGTCTAGAGACAAGGAAGATAACTGACGCTAGCAAATTAATGTGACATTTGCTTATTAGGCTGGAGACGGGGGAATCATTGACATTTTACATTGCCCTTCTAAATAGCCGCACCATGCACACTTGCCTCGCCTCAAGCATATATTTTATTGTGTTGCGGTTATGAAGTCAACATCTACTCATGCTCTTGCCCAAAACTGCAATTAAAATTTATATAAAAGTACAATTTATCTTTAATTGGTATGATAAAATGTCCATGTACAGCATATCTTAGAAGATAAAGAAAAAGACAGTAAAAAAAAAAAAAAAGGAATCTTGGTAGGAATCTCGGAAGATCAGTTGCATGGACCTCCATGATGAAGGTCAATTGTTTGGGATTGATGCATTATTACTAAAATAATATTACAAAAGTGGCAAATTGTGAAGGATATTTTCTTCTTCTTCTTTTTTGCCCTGTAAATTTTATATATAAAAGACATATTAGTGTAGGTTCTTTAAAAATATTAGGAGAAAAAATATTTTAAATTACATTGTTTTTATAAAAATTATATGAAAAAAGTTAAAATAATTTTATTTTTATTTTTAAAATAAATTATTTTAATTTTTAATAAAAAAATTATTAAAATAATATAATTTTATTTTTTTATAATTTTTTAAAAATTTAATTGATAAATACTTTTTATTTTTTTCAAAAGAAAAGAAGTATTAATTTATGGGAAATGATTGGTACACTTTCTGGTTCAACACTCGGTTCAATATTTTTTTGTTTAATAATTAAAAATATAATATAAATACAGTCAATTTAGTTGATTCTTGTATCTTGTGTGCATAATTGTATCATTATATTTGTTTGTTTTTAATTTTAAAATAAAAAATAATAATTTTTTAATTATTAAATAAAAAAATATTAAACTGAATGTTAAACCAAAATGTGTACTGATCACTGTCCTTAATTTATAGCTATAAATTCATTTGACCGATCAGTTTTTGCATCTCATCTTTTGACAAACATCCCTTGGAATCAGCGACGATCTGCTAGGCTGCTAGAATACAATAAATCAAACAAACGACTTGACATTTTAGAGTTCACTAATCTATAAAGGGAATTTAAAAAAAAAATTAATGAAAACTAAAGAAATTATTGAACCCGAACACTGAAAAGTGTACACAAATTTCGACTCTTAAATTTTTGGGAGTCTTATATATTGTCCAAATATTGTCATTCCAAATAATTTGACCCATAAATTAAAAAAGAAAAAAAAAAGTCATCTTAGATAAGTAAGCAATCTTGTTAAGTCTAAGTTAAAATATTTATATACATATATGTTTCCTTTCTTTCATGAGTTACACCACGTACCATGTATGAAGTAATCTTATTCTCCGATTTTTATTTTTTACTTTTTTTGAAAAAAAAAAAAAAAACCCTACAAATTAAGTTGTTAAATCGCTGATAAAGTGACAAACCTTATGTTCTCTATACATAGACTTTAGAAAGTCGGTTGCATATTGCATTGTTTGACATAACCAATGAACAAAAAATCAAGGGATACCTAGACATGAGACCCATTTGCAATAAAATGGGGAGTGAGGTCACAAGGATTTCCCCAAAAATCTTGTGTTTGGTTGTTTACAAGGGACACAAGAACACATGGGCATTTATTGCACAGTTGAAATAGACATGGTGGATGGATTTCATGGCTTCACTGTGAACATGTGTGGTTAGTGGATTATTACTGCTGAGGAAGGGCATTCCTATCAATGGAACCTAGCTTTAGACCCAACAAACGCATGTGCTATGTTTAATTATCATGCACCTCTGCTACCATAAATCTATTTATATCCCCAATAACCACAAACTTTTGACTTTTTAATCTACCTAGATTTATGTCCAATTGTAATTTTTATAGAAAATTTTGATTGTATATTTGATTTTTTTGATTAATTAAAAAATCTCTCTTCTCTTCCTCTCCTTTTCATTTCTCTTAAATTTGAGTTTAATATTAATTTCGCATGAATTTTTTGTCATCATAAACCTGGGCCTGATTATGCAAGTAATTGATTCAGAATGTCACCTAACTACTAAAAAGTTTAGCTGACGTTGTTGTGCTAATGCATCTATCAATTGAAAAAGAAAGAAAAAAAACTCCCAATAAGTCACAGAATCTGATTTGTTGGGGTATAAGAATCGAGTGTATTCTAATATGATAATTAACTTCCTCTATAATTGAGATTCTAAGACCAACTATTTAAATATATGATTTGATTTTCTATATATGAAATAATGACAAGGTAGTTTGTGATTTTAGATTAAGTTTAAAAATTCAAATTTTTATGATATTAAATAATTAATTTTTTGATGTATGAAAAAAAAAAAAAATCACGAGGCAGCTTAATGTCTCGTTAAAGGGATTGTTTCAATAATATTTAGTTGGACAGCCACGGGTGTATGATGATCATTTCCATCATTTTGCGAACCTCATTATTAAAGAATGAATGAACCGGATTCGGGTGTTAAGATGGTTTTATCAAGGTAGCATCATATATATGTGTGCTCTTCAATTATTATTCTTAGCTGGTGATGATTATTGGTGTGCAATAAAAAATTTATTCTTGAGCTGTTAGAGGA